TATTATTATCATATTATTATTATCATTTTATTTCAATTATTAAACTGTTTTTATCTCAACCCACGAGTTTTTCTAACTTGTGCTCTTCCAATTCTCTCCCCCATCCCACCGGGTGGGGGGGAGTGAGCGAGCGGCTGCGTGGTGCTTAGTTGCCGACTGAAATTAAACACGACAGAGGGCACACACAGGACAGAGCCGGACCCAGTGACAGGACCAGAGGCGATGGGCACAAACTGACACACAGGAGGTTCCCCCTGAACACCAGGAAATACTTCACTGTGAGGGTGACCGAGCACTGGCACAGGTTGCCCAGGGAGGTGGTGGAGTCTCCATCCTTGGAGATACTCAAAAGCCATCTGGACACGGACCTGGGCAACCGGCTCTGGGTGGCCCTGCTTGAGCAGAGGGGTTGGACCAGGTGAACCCCAGAGGCCCCTGCCACCCTCAACCATGCTGTGATTATGTGATCTCAGTGTTCACTCCGTTACACCAGAACGGTATTGGGAGTGTCAGGCTACAGAATCAGTGGTATTAGGTTTCAGCAGGATTACTGCAGTAATATGAACCAGAACAGATCAAATTCGTAACGTGTCATGCAGTAACACTGAACGCAAAAATCTCTATGTGGAATAGGGCTCTTAAACAAAACTGGTTTACCAATTACAAAGCTCATCAATGCATACCCACTTACCTTTTTATTATAATTTTAAGACGTTCTCATGCATTTTGCTCACCTCCATCCAATTGCCAGAACTTCTGTCCCCAGGAGACTCACTCACTCATTCATTCATATTTGAACAGCCAGAGAAGCAAAGAATCCCAAAAACTGAACAACTCTTTTATTTTCTGATGGCTTCAAGAAAAACAAACACAAAAACCCCTCACACAGCTTCCCACCTGCTTGCTCCCGCCTCCGCCTGTCCCCGTTTCCATCGGGGTAAAGGAAGAGCGGAGCGAAACTGGCCCTGCCCAGCGCGGCCGCAAGCCGAGGCCCGGCAGCCCCGCCCTCCCCGCGCAG